CTGGGAGCAAAGGGAAAGGTAAGCCCCCCCAGCCGAACAATCAGGCGTCCAGGGGCAGTAACAAGCAGGCGGCCACCGATCCGAAAGGGAACCAGTTCTGTAACAACTGGATGCGCGGGCGCTGCCCGGGCAACTGTGGACGCACCCACAAGTGCAACCTCATCCTGGCGACGGGCCGCATCTGCCTGGGAGACCACCTCCCGCAGGACTGCCCGGGTTGACTAGGGGCTCGGACCCCGACCCCCCGGGAGGCCTCAGGTGCCGAGGGCCCCGATAAGGGTTGGGGGGGCGAGAGGGGGCGCAAACGCCCCAAGCAGGCACATGAGCCCCCTCCTGCAGGTGCCGAGGGCCCTGAGACAGGGGGGGGACAGGCCAGGTGGCGGCCATCCTCGGCGGAACAAGGATGGGGACGACAGAACCAGCGTGCACAACACCCCAGCTGGGGTCAGAACAACCACACAGCTGGCACAACGGCAACGCCGCAGCCCCGTGCCACAGGTGCCGAGGGCCCTGAGACGGCAGGGACGGGACGGTTCCCCGCAGGTGCCAAGGGCCCTGACACGGGGGGCCGCGCCCAGCAGGCCCGAGTGCCGGACAACTGGCAGCACACCGCAACGCCGAGGAACACGCCCAGGAGGCAGCCGATCCCACTTCCGGCGCCCAACATCATCAAGCAGGACCCGGTGGTTTTTCATAAGAGCTCGGTTGGGCTGAATGAAGGGGGCCAACGCCTTTCAGCTACCCCCCTGACAAGTCCCACGGAGCTGTCACCGGGATGGGACATCTTCCCGTGGATGGAGAACATCCCGGAGCGTCTGGTACAGCGTCTGAGATGGACACAGGGCACATCGCCGAAAGTTCCATCCAGTGGGCCCATCATTGTCCTGCTCTATGCAGGCAAGGAAGACCCAACTTCCTTAGACAGCTGTCTTCATGCCAACTACCCGCACCTCTCCAGCATGGTGGTGGCGGTAGACATCCTACGACCGGGACCAAAAGGGAACCACGACATGCTCCAACCCGAGCTGTATGGAGCTCTCTGCACGGCAGCAAAGCAGGGCCGAGTGGTCTTCATTGGGGGAGGACCCAACTGCAGGACATGGTCCATCCTGCGCCACATACCAAAACCGGGGGCCCCCACCCCGGTGCGAGGACGCACTCGAGAGACACTTTGGGGCCTCCCACACCTGGACCAGGCCGCCCAGACTCAGCTTGATGAGGACAGTATCCTCATTTTGCGGCAGATGTACATCACCAGCCTGGCAAGGGCCTCAAGATCGGCGGTTTCTCTGCCAGGGCCAAAATCCTTCTTGGAGCACCCGGAGGACCCAGTGGTGAGCAGCTCGCTGCCCAAAGCCAAGGAATGCTCATCCTTCTGGATCACGGAGGAGGGGCAGCTTTGGATGGAGGAAAACTCCTTGACAGCAATCTCCTTCGACCAGTGCCGCCTGGGCCAGCTGGTCAAGAAGGCCACTACACTTGCCACGGATCTCCCAATCCATGACTGGGATCAAATGCGGTGCACGCATCAGTCACATGTGGGCACCAACGAGTCCTCGACTCTCAGCAGATACCCCTGGGATATGATGGCAGGCCTAGCCAAAGCCATCGCTGTGTCACTCGCAGCGCCGGGGCACATCCGGATCCCCTCACAATTCTCGGGAAACCCTAAGGAACCACCTAAGGGGAGGGGGTCGGACCCCCCTGAGGGCCCTTCTCCCCGGGGAAAACGGGGACCCAATCAGGGAGGCGGTCCCTCCTCGTCACACCAGGGCCCAAAGCCCGGAGGCAAGAATGCCCCGAAGCCCCGCCAGCACGGGCACATCCACCATGAGGCAGACACCGTAAGCCCTCGTGGAACGATGAACCCAGACTTCCCATCTCCCATGCCCCCGATGGCCGGAGATGCGGAACAACTGGGAAAGGAAGAACATGGGGACCAGGTCCTGGACCGCCCCGAATGTCTGCCCGCTTTCAGGGTCCCACGCCTCATTGACCGAGTTGCGATTGTCCAATTGGGTTTCCGCTCACGCCCCCTGAGGGAATGGGGGGGGAAACCTTCCCCGGGGAGGCTCAACCCCCCCTTTCGGAGAATTTCCCCTTTGGCTATGGGCGCCCTGATCATGACCCTTACCAGGCCCTGGATTGATAAGGTCCGGATGTCCCTGGCATCAGGTGCACCCCTTCCAGGAAGCCGACCTCGAGGAGCTGCGGGCTATCCTAGGACCGAGGCACCTCCATGAACGATGCCCAGGACAACCCTTCCTCCTGGACTTAGTGTCGCACTTGGCATCCCTTTCAGGTGACCCTGATTGGGAGTTCCCCCTAACACTGAAAGAGGGGGTCCCCTTGGGAGTCTCGGACCCTACCTTGACCTCCCCGGGAGTTTGGCCCACTAAGGAGGAGCTTAAGGGAGAAGCCTGGCTGGGGGAAGATCCCCCCCCGCCAGTGGCTCATGATAACTACCCAACGGCTGAACTCTTTGCCAAGGAAATCGAATCAACCTTTTACGAGGAACGAGCCTTGGACATGGTGGACGGGCCCTTCACTCGCTCCGAGGCGGCAGAGAGGTGCCGCTGCAAACCGGAGGAACTTTGCCCGGGCCCCCTTGCAGGGATTGATGAGTCGGACAAGATCAGGACGATCTACGATGGCTCACACATCCAGGCTCACACAGGGGAGAAGACCACTGCACCGATGGTCGGAGACTGCCTCCACGCCATCCACTGGCTCAGGACAGCGACGGACCATCCCCATCTACTTTGGGCCACGCTCTCGAACACTGAGGAGAGACTTCGGGATGTTCACCAGCCGGTGCAGGGGCAGTCCCCAGGTGCCGAGGGCCCTGAGAGGGACCCCCGCAGCACCAGCCTGCCCCCCAGGGCCGAGGGGCCTGATCGGGGCAGGGGGATTATGGATACCTCCGGCGGCATGAACGTCTCTCTGGGATCGACACCCTCAGGAAAGGGACCACTCCCAGGTGCCGAGGGCCCTGATAGGAGGGCCCCCTTCCCCCCCAACCCCCCCGGGCACGGAATGCCCTGGGGGGAGCAGGGGGGAACCCTTGAGGTGGCAGCCGCCTACACAGGGGGAAACCTTCATCATCCTCAAGGCGGATGTCACCAAGGCCCACAGGCGTATAAAAGTGCTCCCTAAAGACTGGAAATACCAGGTGGCCTGCATCCAAAACCGGTGGTGGGTCAACAGAGTGGGCACGTACGGCATGGCCTCGGCACAGCTGTACTGGGGAAGAAAGGCATCCTTGGTGCTCAGGCTCTTGTACTACATCTTCCCCCAGGTGGACTGGCACTTAGTCTTTGTGGACGACTACTGCTGGGTCCTCAGATGCAGCCGGGCGGACTGGGACGCCACAGCCATCCTGGCTACACTGCTGGCGCTGGGAGTCCCGCTTTCCTGGAAAAAGACGGCGCTCTCCCCGATCAATACCTGGTTGGGTTTTGTGTGTACTGCTGGCTCCAGTCAAACACGTCATAATCCTGGCCACTCTTAAACGGCTGGCCCAGGGGGACATCTTCACCAGCAAGGAGGTGGAACAAGCCCTAGGCCGTATTCAATGGGCTACTTCGGCGTGCCCATTGACGAAACCTTTCCTCCAGCCTTTTTGGAGCTGGAAGAAGGCCTGCACCACTTCGGGCAGGCCACCAAAGCTGGTTCGTGCTCTGGCCATCCTTTTGGGGAGACTCTTCAACCAGAGGTTCCCACTGGCATCTCCATTTGCTCCCACACTCCCATGGACGGGGGCATCTGATGCGGGAGCTGGCAGACAGGCTGACCATGCATGGGTTGGTGGTTGGTGCTCGGACGTGCCCAACCCCGACAAGTCCCGTGTGAAGTGGTTCCAACACAGAATCACGCCGGAGGGCGAGCCGTGGGCCTTCACTACTGGGGACCCGCAGCGGGCGATAGCGGCCTTGGAGCTCTTCGGCCTCCTCCTTTTGGTGAGGGCCGCTCTGCTTTGTGCAGCCGGCTCGGCTTCTCACACTAGGATCCTGGTTGCTAGTGATAACCAGGGCAATGTCTTCTCCCTTCTTAACGATTCCACTCGCAGGATGCCCAATGCGGCCATCCTCATGGAAATTGTGCTAACGTTGCATGACCAGCAGGTCATGTTGGGGCCGTCGCATGTGAAGCGCGACTTCAACACGTGGGCGGATGAACTTACTCATCCGGACCCGCAATTCCCGACTGAGAACCGGGTCTTCCCCTCAGTCGAGAGCGAATTGATCACACTGATCTTCGCTACGTTCCTTCCTCACCCATGATGCCGGGAGGGCATCTGGTGAGGTGGGAGGATTCCTCCCTCGCTGTGGGAGTGGCATCAATCCTACTCCCATCAGCTGCTGAGGGGAGCTGCCCAGTGGAACTGGGCAATCCTCCCATTTTGGCACTAACCCTTATGCGGCAAAAAGGAGGCACCATTTTGCGAATAAGGCCTCAGTAGCACCTGAGTGGTGCTTCAAAGAGTCTAGTTTAGTTTTTTTGGGGCCAATCCACACAAGAAGCGATGTCGTCATAGTCGATCCCCGGGGAATGTGACATGAGGTCTTTAGTATCCTATCCAAACCCACCGGAATGGCTTGCTTGTAAGCAGACGCAAACTAGGCCTAAATAGTCACGATCATGAGAGAACATCGTGTAATCATTCAGCCCCTTTTTTTGTATCTGGGCATGGGTTAAAACTACACCAGATACTGTATGGACCGCAGGGTTTCGTCTTTTCCATTTACCAGGGCAACCCATCTGGGGTACCCTATGTTTGACAACAGCCACCCCCTACTCCAAATACCGGCTTTTTTCCGGGTATCATGTCGACCCTCTAATAAAAAAAGGAGATATTTACTGTGGAAAACTGATCGCTTTTCCCGAAAACTTCCCCGAACAAAGCGGGTATTTGGTGTAGGGGGCAGTTGTTCCTAACCAGGGTGACCATGGTTTCCCCTTCGAGCCCGGGCGGGGCCTTTTCGCGAATGGCCTGCTAGGAACGTGAAGACGATGACCGGGTACTGGGTGGACGAGGACCCATGGACTGAGTGTCCTGTTATGGATTTCCTGGCCATGGCGTTTTCCTTTGTCCCCTGTAAAAGCCACAAGAAAGGGTGTACCCTCAAGAAAGATAAATCCAAACGGGAATTCTGGATTATATACAGTAACAGAACAATTCCCGGGGAATGTCCAATTTAGAGAAGCACCCTTTCCGTTTTGGAGGAACACCCTTAGTTCGCCAGGATGATCAACTCGGGTTCACATTAGCCTTTCCATGTTTTAGAGTAGCCACCATTTTTTTGGCCACTCTCCCATCTTCTTGAGGCGTACCCTCCTTCCCTTCTTTCTCAAAAGCAAGGAACAACAAAAGTTATTCTACCTATTTGAACGGGCCGAAATGGACACCCCCACCACCAGCAAAACAGCCAGCCAACAAAACAAGTAAACAAACAAACGAAACAACAAGCAATCAAACAAAGAAACACACAAACAACACAAAGGGACAAGCTTGAGGTGGCGGTATTGACGCAAGGGGGATTTATTGGCAGTATAATCGTTGTTTCCTGAGCTACTGGTTGTTGAAGCTTGGTGCTGCCTTTTTTGGGTCTCATGCGAAACTGTTCGCCTACACGAAGGGGGTGGGATACAAAACTGGGACCGGCATACCGATCCACAACACAGTTGTCAAAAGGTGGCTATTGGCCTTATTGGGGAGGATCGTATGCAAGTATCCTAAACTTGGACACACTTTGAGAGTATCTATTGTGGTGCGATCGCACCAAATAACATTGGAACCTGACAGGTAAGTCCCAGAAGACCATTTCCCTTTTTCAAAGGGACCCCTGTCAGGTTCCATATCAATCGTTGGCAGGGAAAACCATATGTCTTGTTCAAAGCTGGCAATCCATTGCCGTCAGGAATTTCAGACTTTCATGAGATGTGGGTGTGGCTCAAAATTACAAAGCTAGGGTTACGCAGGTGTTGGTGCATGTTTTCACTTACCGATCGGGCAAGCCATTTTGGAATTCCGGCTTTGTGAGAACCAATGGTACCATTTTGGGGTAGGTGAATTCACCACCCATTTTAGAACCTATTTTAGTGGTTGGATTGGGATGTTCACTGGGGGCTAACCGATTTGGGTTTTGACCCACGGCCATGTGGGCGAAAGCGCCCTCACTCTCGGGCCAAGTGCCTAACTGAGCCAGGACTTCCGGCGCTACCTCATCGCGGAGCCCATCGGAGTTCGGGACCCGGGGACACAAAAAGCAGCGCGCGATGCGCAGGTTTCAGCTGGAGGTCAGGGAAACCTCGCCCCAAACCCTGACGGGTGGCCCCAAAAGGGGATCCGAACGAAACAGAGATACCAAAAAGAACAGCGAAGCCATTTTGGAGCCCCCTCGATTTTGTCACATGCCTTGGTTGGGAACTGGGCTTACTGACAGGGAGTGGGAAACCTTCCTATTTTCGAGGGCCGATGTTATATAGTTTGACCTGGGGTCTCCTAAGTCTCGGCTCGAAGCCTGTCAGCTGGTGGACTAGCGACAGCAGAAGTTCGAGAGCTGGTTCACATGACTGAGCCGCCATGGATGCAGACCCTGGACCAGGGGATCTTCACCGGGGTGGTTCACGCTGGGGCTCATCATGCCCGTGCTGCACCTGGAGGCCAACTCTTGCAGCTGCCGGACCAGCTCCTCGCACCAGGCCAATCGGCCACGCTCTACAGCTTCAAGGCCAGTCAGATGGCGGATGGAACCATCCTACTTGCTCGGCAACCTGATTCGCAGTGGTTCCTCCACGAGCCCATCACCATCCAGGCCTATCAGCACATGAAAGAAATATGCGCAGGCATGGGGGGCATCGGCATGGGAGCCAACTCGGCCGGCATCACGCCCATAGCACACCTAGAGATCAATCCTCTCAGCTGCCAAGCATTGACCCTGAACGGCGCCTCCAACGTCATCCAGGGCGATGTCTGCAACATCGCAGACGTGGCCAAACTACATGGAGCAGGCTCACTACGGCGAACAGTAATCAGTGCGGGCTTCCCTTGCCAACCGTACTCCACTCAAGGAGACATGCAGGGGGCTAAAGACTCACGCAGCTGGACCTTCCTGGCCACCCTGAGGGCGGCGTGGCTTATGCAAGCTCCGGCGATACTACTTGAATGCGTTCCTGCCGTACAAGGTCACCCCTTCATCCGGGAGAACCTGAAGTTGCTTGCGGACGCGCTCGGCCTCCAGGTGAAGACGCTCACCTTGGCACTTCAAGATCAGTGGCCATGCCGCCGTGATCGATGGTGGGCGCTACTTGCCCCACGAGAATTCGACTTGACCCACCTCAAACCCTGGGCCAAAGACGACCTCCACAGCACCATCGGGCACATCATTCCTGACTGGCCGCTATGGGACAACCAAGTTGAAGAAGAACTACAGCTCACCGAGACCGAGCTCTACCACTACAACAATCACCTCTTCGGATGGGAGACTCGGCTCCTGGAACAATCCGGAATATGCCCCACGATCTTACACTCATACGGCAGTGTGTTCACAAAGTGCCCATGTGGATGCCGGAGTGCGGCATTTCGTCCTGAGCGACTCCAACGTGGAGGGGTCAGAGGCTGCTACGTCCTTTCCCAGACCACCGGCAAGCCTCGTTTCTTGCACACGGCAGAAGCAGCACTCCTTTGCACGGTACCACCAAACTTCAAGTTCCCAGGTGGACCAAGGACAGGCCTCTGCCTGATCGGTCAAATTGCGGCCCCTCTTCAAGCCCAGTGGATGTGCCTACACCTCGTTCAGGCAACACAGCTCTTCTACGGCTGGGAACCGGTTGTGGAACCCCACATCCACATCCAACACACCAAGAACCACCTCCAATGGCAACGACACCACCTTTGGACCACTGAACACTCACACGCCACTCGGCATGTGTGGATCAAGGATCAACATGGGCACAACCTTCACGTGCTCCGTGAAGGACACCAGACCGTCCATGACCTCCTTCAGGCCGAGGTCAGGCTCATTGACCCGGGGGCCAGTGTCCAGCTATGGGATGGACCACGGCTGGTCCCGCAAGAAGCCATTCTTCAAGATCAAGGCTGGCAAGGCCCCTACACACTTGTCACCAAGCACACCTCTGCCGCTACTACCACAGACATCGCCATTGAGATCACCTTCCACATCGCCCACCAGGCCACATCAGTCACGCTGCCCCAGGGAGCGTACCTGTTCCAAGCATACGCGGCCGGCCACATCTCACCCAGCATCACTCCTGTAGACCTGCAAGGACAACCACTCCGGCTAGACACCAGAATCTGGCAAAACACTGTCATTCCTTGTCGCTCCCCAATCACTGCAGCCGGCGACTCCTTGGAGGGACTCAATGACCAGCAAATCAGTGCGGAGCTTACCTGGATTGCGCGCCTACACGGGGAACTTGGCGGCGATCCCTTTCAATGCCCAGCTCCTCTCCTTATCCAGCACCACCACGACGACGGTCCCACCATCGACCACAACACTCTGCTACTCCTCGAGCAATGCAACCCACAGCTTCTCACCACCATCATCTTTGCCTATGACGATCATTGGGCGCTCCTGACCACCGAGCCAACCACCACAGGCTTTGCAGCAACCGTCTATGACGGTCTACCTGCTCGATCCCTCGCGGGAGGGCACCACTTGGCCCAACGCCTCGCCGAACTCTGGGAGACCGAATGCACCAGCATCCACAACTTCACAATCTTCGACCAGCAAGATGATTGCTCCTGCGGTACAGTCGCCCTAGCACACCTTGGCCATGTTCTCAACCTCTGGCCTGACAACTACCACCCAGACACCACGGCGTGGCATCATCAAGTCCGCGAGGGACATCCTACTACCACGCACATGCACGTCGCCAGAGGCCCACCGCAACTCGCCCTGGACAACACACCCCTCTCTCTCAGCAACCTCCTTATCGAAAAAGGAGTTCCCCCAGCCCTTGCGACAGATCGAGCAGCAGCAGCCATCAAACAACTCGGCACCAAACCAATCACCGACGCACTGCACTCCAAGAATCCTTGGAGCGTCCTGAAGTCACTGGGCAACAAGCCAGCACACCCATTCCTCTGGGTCAAGCCCGAGGAACTCATTGTCAAAATCCAACAACGAGCATCCACACAGTACGGGATTTCCACCTCAAACAAGAAAAAGACCAGGGACAGCACTGACACTCAACGCAACCGACCGAACCCTCAACTCGATCCCAGCGAGTTACAGCTGATACCCAACACTTTTGTTGGGGAAGACGGTATCCCGGTCGATCACCTCCATATCAGCTCTGTCGGAAAGGGCAAAACAGGCATTGCCTTTGCCACCGTCCATCAGGCAATGCCATACCTACAGGCAGCAGAACAACTCAGCGCAGGACCTCTTGCAATCCTCACAACCACACCAGCGCCATCCATTTCAACTTTGGTCACCGAAGACCTCATGTACCCTGCCATGCACGCCAACACACTGGAGCCTCTGCTCATCCACGGCAGCCTCATACAACTCGGCAAGGTGCTCATAACTCGACCAGCTCTTCGGCAACCTCCCGACATGGCCCCAATTGGCACCAACACCATCAAGCTTGCGGTCTATCAAGACCTATGGCAGGGGGACTGGCAAGTCTTCATCGAGGGCCCCATGAAGCAGGTCATGATGGCCTTCCCCATCCTCACACTCTGCAAAACACCAGGATGCGGAAACTCCTGCCAGAAATTCCACCCACCTGTCGACGAAGACCATCTCGACAACGTCATCCTTGACATCTGGGGTCGACAATGGGCCAGCCCATCTGGGGCCAGAGTGAACAAAGACAAGGCGGTCTGTTGGACGGCACTAGTTCGCGTCCCGGAGGTCATCACTCCCAACCTCCTCGCCCTCTCAGGAACCAACGGGCTCTTCATCGACCCACGCGACCAATCCGGCAAAGCGCCGGACGAACGCTACGGAGTCATTTGGCTGCCAGGAGCCACGCTCCAAATTGCGCACCACAAGCACCGCACCACCGAGGGATCCATCTCGGTCATCCGGCTTAATGACCGCTACGGCCTGCGGTTCAACACTGCACAACTACCCCAAGCGCACCACACACTCAAGCCAGACGAACCCTACCTGCAGGTCAAGGTGGTAGACATATACAAGCTCTTCCCTCTGCCACATGGCACTCAGCGCCAAGGCCTCATCAAGTCACTCGCATCCTGGGGATGGCGCGCAAAACCACTTCAACCCTGCAAGGGCGACCACAACGGCATCGGATGGGAAATTGGCGCTGAATCGGCACCCCCATGCAACATCCTGCAAGGAGCCCATGGGGACGTTCTGGTCACCAAGCTCCGGTCCATCCGATCCGCTCCAGCCAGCTCCAATCTGGTCGCATTCGACCGCACCCAGAAATTCCTTCACAGCAACAACGACCCGTCAGCTGCCTCCTCTTCTACACAACGGACCAACGACCCCTGGCAAGCCGGAAAAGACCCATGGTCCCAATGGTTCAACCAACATCCCCTCGACGGCAAATCCGCACCAGCACCACCAGCCGCAGACAGAATCCAGCAGGCCAAGGAACGCATCAAAGCAGACCTACAGGCCACATTCCAAAAGCAGCTTGACTCCCATTGGAGCAGCTGGGACGGGGATCACGACATGGAGACCCCTGACCAGACCCGCTTCGAGACCCGCTTCCACCAGCTCGAAACCAATGTTGCGGAGCTCCAAAAGCAAAACACCAAATTCGAGCACTGGTTCACGGAGGCGGCCACAGCCAACGCAGCCACCAACTCCCAGCTCGCCACAGTTGCCCAACAGGTCAACTCCCACCAGACGGAGCTCACGATGCTTAACAAAAGTGTCAATGAGCGCCATGACGAGCTGCGACGGGAAATGTCCCAGGGCTTTGGCAACATCGAGGCCCTTCTGTCAAAAAAGCATCGCAAGGAGTGACTACGTCACCCTGGACCCGGCGGACCAGCCCGCCAGGTGCCAGGAACTGCAACCACAACCAGCTGGATCAAGTCACCCCTTGCAACCTGGCTACTCCTTCTTAGCCTTATCATGCCTGCACTTGGAGGCAGTGCCTACGGGACGCCTTCACGAACAGCAGCAACACAGCCTGGGTTTACCCAGCAAAGTCCTCTTTCGCCACACTATCACACCGGCTACACTAGCAGCCTGCGGGACGCTGCACTTAGCCATCATGACAGTGAGCCACCTGGGGC